ATTACAAAATATTTTTGCACAGAGCTGAAATTAATATTTAGTCACAAATTGTCGAATTTTAAGGTCACATTTAATCCATTATGCGGTCTGTCACCGCCACCGCCACCATCAGAGCTAACATACCCTGTCAGACCACCATCAGATTAATATTTGTCACAAATTGTCAAATTTTAAGGTCACAATTAATCCATTGTGCAGTCACAATTAGTCCATTATGTAGTCCTAGTTGGTCACGAAGCACGACACAGATTCAAATAACTGCCGCCCGCACCTCACCACAACCATCGGACCATTGCCTGTATCGCACCACCACCATAAAAAAAAACACCGCCTCAGCCGCCTGCAAATCCCGGCCATAGCACGCAGCAGATCTCGACCACGGCGTGCGAGGGGCTCCAAAAAAAAATAAATCCCGATACCACGCAGTATCACCACTGCAACCACAAACAAAAACGACCATCATTTTGCTGAGAAAAATGACAGCATAATCCACGTCCACATCAATTCAAATTTCATTTAATAAACACCAAGTTATCTCAGCAAACGACTCTTGTTTAAGGATAATCTCAACTTGCCATATGTATATATAACGTATTAGGCAAGATTACCAACCGGCATCTGAGGCAAGGTAAAGAGCAGCCATGGCAATATCCCACTTCTCGCCAAGTTTATACAGAGGCATATAGTCTCTGGCTTTGCTATTTATTTCTTGAGGAACGAGTTTTCTCATGCCAGTAGTATCTCCGATAGGACCTGGTGCAATCCCATTAACTCTGATTTCATAGTCAGTACCCCACTCCTCGATCGTGCAAGAATTTCCATCACCGGCTGCAGCTGTGTTGCGAGAGGCTGCATCATCGTGTGCGACGCCGATGGGGGTTCCGACGCCGAATGAGAGGGTGGGTGTGGCGCCGGCGGAAAGGCTGAGAGATCGAGGAGAGTGAGGGATTTGGAGAGGAGAGAGAAGACGAAAATGAATTCTAGGGTTTTCGTTTGGGATTAAATTAACTGGGATGGAAATTTTATAATTAATATTTAATTAAATATGAAATATCTGATTTTTGAAAAGTTAAACTTGTGATCTGATTTTTGAATATGGATTTTGAAAAGTAGGGTTTTGTGTAATTTCCTCTTCTTTTTTCAAAAAACTTACAAACAAAATTCCTTTATGGGCCGAGGCTAGCCCAGTGCAGCTACCCCCCACATCCGCCCATATGCATGATTATAACTTTAAAAAATCATCGATTTTTGAATATGTCAAATTTTGATGAACCAAACATTGTTGAAAAGATATTTCATTTTGATTTTATATGGAAGATATGATTTTCCAAAACCACACACCCGTGCTTTGAGTTATAAAGATTTATACCGAAGAATGTAAAATCGTGCAAATCTTCAAAAATCATCCTTTTTTTTCAAAATTATCAGATTTTGACAAACCATACACAATTGAAAAGCTTTATATATTCAATTTTATACAGAAGAAATAATTTTTCAAACACACACATGTGCTTTGAGTTATAAAGATTTTTCAGAATAGATCGAAACTAGTGTATATAATCTTCAAAATCACAAAATTTTCAAAGTTGTCGTATTATAATGAACCATACACCTTTAAAAGCTCTATCAGTTTACTTTCATATGGAAGAAAGGAATTTTCGAACTCACGCCCATGCCTTGAATTTTAAAGGTTTTTTGGAACAACATGAAAGTTGTTTCACATATAACCTTCAAAATCATCAATTTTTCAAATTTGTCATATTTTGATGAACTATACACTTTCTATCAGTTTATTTTCATATGGAAGAAACGATTTTCTGAACGCATGTTTATGCTTTGAGTCATGAAGGTTTTTTCAAAACTGTGCGAAAGTCGTGTTATATAAACTTAAAAAATCACCGATTTTTCGAAGTTGTCAAAATTTGAAGAACTGCATATACACCATTGAAAACCCATATCAATTAAATTTTATATGGAAGAGAGGGTTTTCGGAACCTACGCTCATACTTTGAGTTGTGAAGATTTTTTCGGAACAAAGCTAAAATTGTTTTATATAATTTTCAAAAATCACCAATTTTTCGAAGTTGACATGTTTTGACGAATTATATAATGTTGAAAAGCTCTATCCATTTACTTTTATATGGAAGAAAAGGTTTTCCAAATCATACCCGTATTTTGAGTTATAAAGATTTTTGATACAACGTAAAAAAATTGTGTTATATAACCTTCAAAAATTATCGATTTTGCGAAATTATTATGTTTTGACAAACTACACATTGTAGAAAAGTTCTATGGATTCACTTTCATATGTAAGAAGTGGTTTTTGAATCAACACTCCTTTGAGTTATAAAGGTTTTTTTGAAATAGAACGAAAGTCGTGTTATATAACCTTAAAAAATTATCGATTTTTTTTTTTTAAGCTGGTTTTTCTGACAAACCATACGCCGTTAAATCTCTATCAACTTCATATGGAAGAAACGATTTTTCGAACCAACACCAGTCTTTTGAATTATAAAAGTTTTTTCGGAACATTGTGAAAATTATATTATACAACCTTAAAAATAATTGTTTTTTCGAAGTTTTCATATTTTGATGAACCATATATCGTTGAAAATATCCATTAGTTTACTTTCATATGGAAGAAATGAGTTTTCAAACACACACCTGTGCTTTGAAATATACATATTTTTTCTTCGAAAAACGCGAAAGTCGCATTGTATAACATACAAAATCTATATTGTAGTCTTTGGCTGAAAAATGTTAAGCAATAATTTAATTCCATATTGTAGTCTTTGGCATCATCCTATGCACCAACTATGTGGTAAAATTCCTGGATTCGTTATACCACCATTGTCAATAGAGAATAATGCTAATGAGGAAGATACTACTAAAGATGAAGACAAACAACTTCGGTGATGATCAACTGCATATCTAATTCATGAGAATGAATAGTTATTTGTTCGGTACATAATAATGGATACATAGCATATTTTCTATACTTTTTTAAGTTTATATGTAACCATACTCAGTGAATGATTTTTATTGGTGTTTTGGTGAAATATTATGGATTTAATGTTACATTGATTAACACTACATGTTTTAATTGATTTCTTGTGTTTTGCGTTTTTATATTATTTTGAATAATGTTAAAAATTACTACAATATAATTGTTAGGTTTATATTTTGTATTGGCGATTCTGTGAACAAATTGACCAACTTGAACAATTATATAAGTTTATGGACTAAATTGTAAAGTTTCATAGTTTGTAGGTGAGCTTAGGGTTTGGGGTTTCATGTTTGGGACAAGAAGGATTCACGCCGGTTTTTGCTAGTTGCTCGCCGGAGTGATGCTCGAGCAACTAAAACAGAGACTGCATCGCTCGACCTTCGCCCCACTGTCACTCGAGCGACAGACCCTTCGCTCGAGCGACGTATTATTTAGCCAAACGTAATTTTCTATTTTCGAGATTTGTACTTGGCCCATGCAACCTATTTCGTCCAACCTATATATTGAGGTGCCACACTTTTTACGAAAGAGAGATTGAATATCATATTATTTAGAGAGAATACATGCTTTACAAGAATCAAAGTTCAATCATTCCATTGTTCAATTGCCAATAATTGTGAAAACATCAAAGAGTCAAATCAAACACTGGATTGCATCCTTTGCTTGGGTCTGCTGCAAGATTGTGTCGTCAACTGTGCTGTATTAAAGATCAAGGGAGAATCTGAAGAACGATGAGTTCTTTGGAAAGATCTACAGGAGATAAATTGCGTAAAAAGTCAGGATTGGAGTTCGTGTGCTCATTCCAAGAGGGCTACTTTACAAAGAATAGCCGAGTTTGGTGTTTCTGTGCACATTTCTGGAGAGCTGCTTCTTACTTCAGAAATGAGATTAGAAAGCTTGTGTTGTCAACTTTGCTGGTGGTTTGTAAGTGTATTATCAGTTTAAAGTGGATTTTTGACTGGCAAAGCGCCTGGAGTTTTTCCCACGTTGGTTTCTTCGTGAACAATTCTGGTGTTGTTTACTGTTTTATTTATTGTTTTGATATAACTGCGATATTCAAAGATAAGCTAAATTGGATTGTTTGACTAATCACCTAGACATAATTAACTTGTGACATGTTGTTAGTTAATTAGATTGATAATTCTTCATTTACACCTAATCACTCCCTCTAAGCATAGTTGGGTCGAATATCGCGTTTCTCAATTGGTATTAGAGTCTAATCTCGTGTCCTGACCCATATTTTGATTGTCTATATGAGTAGTTCGTTGCCTATACCTCCGTATTTTGATGGCCGTAATTATGCCTATTGGAAAGTGCGTATGAGAGCTTTTTTTAAGGCTTTTGGATGAACATGGATGGATTTCTGTACAAAACGAGTGGACTCCACCTTCAACAACTGCTGATGGTGTAGTTACACTCACTGATATTTCTTTATGGACTAAAACAAACTTGAATGAGTGTAGTTGGAATAGTAAATGTCAACATGCTTTGTTTATGGCTGTGTCTCCTGAGAAATTTAGGAGAGTGTTTAAGTGTTAGACTGCTAATGAGGTTTGAGATATTTTGGAGACTACCCATGAGGGTACTAAGATTGTGAAAAACTCCAAATTACAAATGTTGACTTTTAGGTTTGAAGAACTTAGGATGAACGATGATGAGAGGTTTGATGAGTTATATGCTAAACTGAATGATATTGTGAACTCTAGTTTAGATTTAGGCGAACGGATCATCGAGTCAAAAATCGTTCGTAAGGTTCTTTGATCCCTACCTGAGAGGTTTAGACCTAAGATAACTACAATTGAAGAGAGAAAGGACATTGACGTCCTTAAGATAGAAGAACTCGTAGGATCCATTCAAACATATGAATTAGCCTTAGCTTATCCCAAGAAACAGAAGTCCATTACCTTGAACACCCGTAGGGAAGAAAATTTTGAGTCTAGTGATGTAGAGTCCCTTAAAGGTGAAGAGATAGCCTACTTCGTGAAGAAGTTTAAGAAGGTCTTAAGGAATATACCAAAACCATAACCTAGGCAGATGAGTCCCCCTAGGAAATTTCAGAAGGAAAAACGTGATAAGGGTGGTGGTAAAGGGTCTAGTAGTGAGCTCCAGTCAGTTAGATGTCATGAGTGCCAGGGGTTTGGGCACTATAGGAACGAATGTCCTAATCTTAAGAAGAGCTCGACTAAGGATAGAGGTAAAGCCTTAGTTGCTGCACTGTCTGATGACGACTCTAGTGAGAGTGACCCAAGTGTGCATCTGAGTATGAGATAAGGGAAATGAAGGTTGAGAGTGAACGATCTGGAGATTGGTTGAATTGTAGTGTGGCCCACCTTGCAAATAGTGAAGAACGAATAACTATTTGTGCTGTAAATCAGGGGGAGAAGATATACTCTTTGTTGGACATAAGCTTTCATATGTAGGTCCTAATGTGCTTTTAAGTTTGACTTTCATAAGTAGAGGAATATACTTATTAACAGTGATATTTAGCATGTTCTTTCTCACAAAATTAAGGTATGGAGTCTTACTGCTAGAGGATTAGTGACACTTTACACGTACGAGTCACTTATATCATTTACTCCATGGGTAACTTATGTTGGCGCTGTGAGATAGTTTCCTGTTCATTGCATATACATGTGATTGCTTATACCTGCATTGTTGAGTTTTTGAGTTGTTGTGTGTTTTTGCTTCGTCCCTTCGACATTTGTGACAAAAATGGGGAGAGATTTTTATAGTAAGGAGAAGCTATATCATTTTGATTTTGCATTCTCTGTTTTGAGCAGTTACATTTGTCTTTATATGAGTCATTAGGGTGAGACATAGATACTGTATAGACATATTGCGCTTTAAATTTGATTTGATTTGTTGCATATGNGCCAGGGGTTTGGGCACTATAGGAACGAATGTCCTAATCTTAAGAAGAGCTCGACTAAGGATAGAGGTAAAGCCTTAGTTGCTGCACTGTCTGATGACGACTCTAGTGAGAGTGACCCAAGTGTGCATCTGAGTATGAGATAAGGGAAATGAAGGTTGAGAGTGAACGATCTGGAGATTGGTTGAATTGTAGTGTGGCCCACCTTGCAAATAGTGAAGAACGAATAACTATTTGTGCTGTAAATCAGGGGGAGAAGATATACTCTTTGTTGGACATAAGCTTTCATATGTAGGTCCTAATGTGCTTTTAAGTTTGACTTTCATAAGTAGAGGAATATACTTATTAACAGTGATATTTAGCATGTTCTTTCTCACAAAATTAAGGTATGGAGTCTTACTGCTAGAGGATTAGTGACACTTTACACGTATGAGTCACTTATATCATTTACTCCATGGGTAACTTATGTTGGCGCTGTGAGATAGTTTCCTGTTCATTGCATATACATGTGATTGCTTATACCTGCATTGTTGAGTTTTTGAGTTGTTGTGTGTTTTTGCTTCGTCCCTTCGACATTTGTGACAAAAATGGGGAGAGATTTTTATAGTAAGGAGAAGCTATATCATTTTGATTTTGCATTCTCTGTTTTGAGCAGTTACATTTGTCTTTATATGAGTCATTAGGGTGAGACATAGATACTGTATAGACATATTGCGCTTTAAATTTGATTTGATTTGTTGCATATGTCTTGTCTTTTTAGGGGTCGTTGGGGAGAGACATAGATACATTTTTGACATTTGACTTGATATACACTTGCATTGATTATGATTGTTATGTCATTTGTCTTGAGAGGTCGTAGGGGTGAAACATAGATATATTTCCTACTGCTTTAACACTTAAAGTTTGCAGTAGTAGCATTGCATTTGCATTGCATATCATACACTGAGGGGGAGCATGTGCATTGCAATTGTGTTGCATTTCATGCATGGTTGTTTGAGTTTTTCCTTGATATTTTGTAGTATTAATGTAGTTATGGTGTCCTGGTTTAACATTAATACTGCATCTCAAACTAGCTTGCTTATTTTACTGACTATGCCTCTAAGTACTTTATTACTTATTTTCTGTATCATGTGCTTTTATACTGGTATGTGAGTTTTTTAATTTCAGGATACAAGATTAACAAAGTGGAAACTGCATTTAGTTGGACTTGGGTAGTTTGGATAGGTTGTTGTTTATTTTGTATTGTGTTTTGTCACATAATGCCAAAGAGAGAGTTTGTTATATTTATATTTTGTATTGGCGATTCTGTAAACAAATTGACCAAATTGAACAATTATATAAGTTTTGGGACTAAATTGTATAGTTTCATAGTTGGTAGGTTAGCTTAGGGTTTGGGATTTCATGTTTGGAACAAAAAGGATTCACGCTGGTTTTTCGCTAGCTGTTCGCCGGAGTGATGCTCGAGCGACTGAAACAGAGATTGCCTCGCTCGACCTTCACCCCATTGTCGCTCGAGCGAAGCAACATTCTCGCTCGAGCGACGTATTATTCGGTCAGACCTCATTTTTTATTTTCTAGATTTTTACTTGGCCCATACATCCTTTTTTTTCCAACCTATATATTGAGGCATCGCACTTTTTACGGAAGAGAGATTGAACATCATATTATTAAGAGAAAATACATGTTTTACAAGAATCAAAATTCAATCCTTCCATTGTTCATGTGCTAATCATTGTGAAAACATCAAAAAACCAAATCAAACACTGGATTGCATTCTTCGCTTGGGTCTGCTGCAAGATTGTGTCGTCAACTGTATTGTATTAAAGATCAGAGAGAATATGAAGAACGAGGAGTTCTTTGGGAAGATCTACAGGAGATAAACTGTGTAAAGAGTCAGGATTGGAGTTCGTATGCTCATTCCAGGGGGACTACTTTATAAAGAAGAGCCGGGTTTGGTGTTCGTGTGCACATTCCAAGAGGGCAGCTTCTTACTTTAGACAAGAGATCAGAAAGCTTGTATTGTCAACTTTGCTGGTGGTCTGTAAGTGTATTATTAGTTTATAGTGGATCTTTGACTGGCAAAGCGCCCAAAGTTTTTCCCACGTTGGGTTTCTCCGTGAACAATTCTGGTGTTGTTTACTATTTTATTTATTGTTTTGATATAACTGCGGCATTCAAATATAGGCTAAATTGGATTGTTTGACTGAGACCTAGACATAATTAACTTGTAACAGGTTGCTAGTGAATTAGATTGATAATTTCGCGTTCACGCCTAATCACCCCCTTCTAGATGTAGTTGGGTCGAATATCGTGTTTCTCAATAATTAAAAAATAAAATATATGAAAATAATTTAATTTTTTCCTACAAATTCTTTCATAATAACATACAAATATGCTCTTCCCACGAAAAAATTGTTTGTTGAGAAGGGTTTAACCCACAAAATAATTTGTACTATGTTGTCACAAATTTTTAATTGTTGGGGAAAATGTGTATATCTTAGCCCACAATTATTCTTTCCATACAAATTTATTTGTAGGAAAAAACACAATGTAGTCCGCAATATAATTTGTAGGGAAAAGCGAAAATGATTCATGGGCAAAATTAGTTTTAGCAGGCGAATGATTTTGTTGGGGGGAAACTTATAAGATGTATTGTATTCATCTCCAAAGAGTACGTTGTGAAAATCTTTTGCCCACAAATTTAAAAATTTTGTTGTCTTTTACTTATTCCCTCAATATTTGCCCCACAAATGTGCCTACAAAAGTTTTTTTGCCTACAGAGGTTTTTTCCAACAAATAAGAACATTTCCCTATAAATAAATTTTGTAGGGAAAACATAAAATTCTTGTAGTGAAGGTAGGCTTTTGTTTGGTGTTTGATCAAAGGACTTTTTGCGTTTTGATCTGTACACTGATGCAAGAGATATTTGGATCTCAAAGAATAATCTCTTGACTTATAACAAGGCTCCATCAATGATAAAAAAAATATATATGGGATGATATATATGAAGAATATATGGTTTAATAATAAGATCTCTAAGGCTACATAAAGATTCAACACACATTTGGCACGTTCTAGGCTTGGGTATTTATAACATGTAATGTTTGAGGTGAAAAGTGATTGAAAAATAGCTATTTCACATGAATTTCGAAGATATGATTGTCGAACCCCCACTCAAGCGCTGCGCTTCGTGCCTAGCGAGCGGCCGATCCTCGGCTCGATCGTTAGGCGAGCGACAGTGGTCCTGCAGCGGATGCTCGAGAGAACCATGCACAGCTAGTGACCAATCGTCTTCCAGTTTCTTTTTGATAGGTAATCGTCTTCCTGTTTCTTGATCTTCTTGAATGTCTTGGAATCCTTTTAGAACTCTATCAACCCCAAACTATTTTGACTAAATTACAACTCAATAACTCCTATTTTAACTTTAATTACAACTCAAATAACCCATAATTTTGAATACAAATTAAAATTGCCAATAACTAAATTGGACATTGCCAATTACAAATTTGACCTAACACTCACCAATAACAAAAAAATATCATATAAAGGATTAACTAGGTAACCCCACCTGACGATCAAATGTAATTTAATTCATGTCATATATTTAAATCGCGACATGATTCATGTCCAATGCACTAGTATCACTACTTAAAAAAACCATTATTCTGCAATCAGGACAATCTCTCCCCCCAAATTGGTAGAGTAGTCAATACTACAACCTTGTGGAAATAGGGACCTACCTTTGTTAACATATAGAATGTTACCAAAAAAGAAAATGTATATCAGGAAGAAGCATTTATTAAAAACTGTTTGATTTGTATGGCTCTTACTCGAACCGCCATGGGAAGGCTGTTCTATAATGGCTTATAAAAGGGTAGTTACATGAACAATTTATTCAATGAAGGAAAAAGCCACAAGTAAAGGGAATTCCTTATCAAATCCACACACATGCTCATGTGGCGGAATTTGATTCGCCTGTTTTTTCTTTCTAATAATTCTATGCCATGTGTTATCCGTCATAATTTTACGTACTTATAGCATGATTGATCTATTAAAGCTATTACCATTAACATTGTCAAAGTAAATTAAGAATATTTTGAAAATATAATGTACCATGATGATCATAAAAAAAGGTTCTATAATGGCCTTTACAGTAATATTAATTGGTGCAAGATTTTGATACAAACTGAAATATTTAGAAATTTATTGAAGTATTAATGCTTGTTGGATCATGGAATTTGCATACATTACTTAGAAATGAATCAACAGTACGCATTACATAATTCATGCCCAAGCCACACGCAAGAAGGAAAAAATGTCTCTGTCACATCAAATATACTGGCCACCGGTACAAATATTGGATAGCAAAAGCCAACGGCTTATCTACTCATTCCTCCTTGAAAGTTTGGTGCCACTGTAATTCCAGGATTCTGTTTCTCCATATTTCCATGCCATCCTATAAATTTTCACGGCAGCCACAAATATCTCAGTCATGTAAATGGTAACGATAGGTTTCATCCATAGGTACACATAATTTTAGAGACAGTTTTGAAGAGGGATGTACATAACATTCACTGTTATTTCGACCTAGTCAAGTAAGAAAATGGCATTTTTAATGAAACATAAAAAAAGTCATTTTATCCTTTTCAACCCTTGAAGAAGACCTTCTAGAAGTTATTTTTCCTTTCCTTTTCTTTTATCTATCTATAAAACTAGATTTTTCTATTTTTAAATAATAAAAAAAAACAGATGTTTTCTAAGTGCAGAAGTCAAATTATTGGCATAATTATGCAATTGTATAATGCTTGTAGAGAGAAAAGGAAAGTTCATTAATACCAATAGACATATCGAATCCGCGGTTTTTAAGCTCACGATGCTCTTGGCACAAGGCACAACATTCACAACAGAAATGAACGCAACAATCTGCACATGGATTCTCTGGCAGCATGTATTGCCTTCTCAACTTTGAACGATAGAAGCAAGAATATAAGCACGCACATCCCGTAATGGCTATAAGAGTGTAAAGTACTCCACTTACTCCACAGGCTGCCACCAAAAATTTCATAGACAAATAAAATCGTTTGTTCACGGTTTTGATCTCTAATTAAAAGAAAAATTGTAATATTTTCCAGAATTGAAAGAAAAATTTCAACATGCATGACAATTGATATCATAGAAGAGGGATCCTCGTATAAAGTCAAAAATCATTTTGTCTCGTCACTTACAACTAGATCCTTTGTCTACAATCTCAGCAATCCGACCAAATGTTATACACGGACACCAACAAGTTATACAACCTGCAAATTCGATAAGTATTAGAAAAACAGGTTCAATATTACCTAATAATTTATAGTTTAAGACCATTTTTAGTACGCTAAGTTAGATAGAATTGAAAACAATTAACACAAACAGACATGTGAAAAGGGTTAAAAATCTATAAGAACTCACAATTTGGAATATCGGAGCAGCAACCACATAGACCAGTAGACCACTTCCCTGGAGTGCCAACATGAGCTTGAGGTAGCTGCGGTGGCGGCAGCGGAGGTGGTGGCGGTGGTGGAGGTAGTTGGGAATGATCAACATAGTTATAGTTAGGAGGTGGAACTGGTATACCTGTTGCCGGTTGTTGGTCAAAGGCCCACGGTGCACTCGGCGGTGGAGATTTTCTGGCAACATACGGATCTAAGGGATCCATATCGAAACGGGCTTAAAACTATTGATAAATTGAAAATAAGAGATGATTTATGGTGTGGATTATAAATAGATAGACGTCTAGAGTTTGAAATGTCAAGCAGAACTACCCGCGAGATTTCATTACCGTGTCTGGCCGCCTATTAGCAGTTGAAAATAGGTTAATTTGTTTATTAAAAATTTCTCTGGAACATATGAATCCAAAGCAGACGTTCAATATACGCGATCGAACCTGGAATTAGGTATCAAATTGGTTATATAATTTGACGGGTTATGCTACATGTACATAATGGTACATGTAATGGTATCCATAACAATAGGGGGCGCCACATGTACATTACGAACACCATTATGTGTATCATAATTTACATGTATCATTATTCTAATTTGACTAGGTTCAAATTTTGAATTGATTGATCAATGAATTCATTTCATGGGTCCCAGTCAGCCAGTCTCCTCGCACACGTTCTTCTTTTGATTTAGTCGTTTTTGGAAATTTTGGGGAAACAAGTATTATCTGTCCTAAGAAAATAATATTAACAAATTCTCAATAATAAGTTGAATTTTCTTGTTTACACGTTTTTGGTAATTATTTCGCACCATATAAGCTGAAAAATGGAAAATGTAAAAGGAAAAGAGACGAAGAGTGGATCAATTCGATAAAACATGTACCTTCCAGGTACTAATTTTCGAGGAATCAATAAAACTCCCGTGAACAAACTATATGCTTGCAAACTAATTCATTTTGTGAAATAACAGCGAGGTTTAGACCCAACAACACCTCGAAGTGTATAATGCGGGATTAAATAATCAATTAATAAAAAGCAACAAGTCACTAATTATTAATTTTAGATGATTAAGTTTAAAGTCCAATTCAACCCTAAGGCCCTGTTTGATTTGCAAAGTTTTCTAGGANTTAAATTTTTTTTTTCAATGGAAACAAATTTAATGGACAATTGTAAAAAAGAATTTCCCTTTAATGGACAATTTTCATGAAAAATGAAGCCAAACGAATGATCTTCGGTAAGTTAATTTTAAATTATTTTTTTTTCAATTGGAACAAATTATAAACTCAATGCTAAAAAAAGGTTATCACTTTAATGAACATTTTTCATGGAAAACAAAATCAAACGGACACCAAACTTTTAACATTTTTCAGGTGGAAAATTATACCAATCAAATACAATTAATTACAATTTCCAGTAAAACAAATTCTAGGCAATTCAATTCCTAGTAAAACATTTTATTTCCACCCATTTTCCACATTCGCAATCAAACGGATCCTAAGTAACCAAACAAGTATGCAGATCCAAGCAGTAAAAGTAAAATAACACCAGATATGTTAATAAAAGAAAACTCCTTGAAGAACTCTTTATAGGGATGATAAACTTTCGGACAAACCTTGCCAAAACAATCCACTAGAAAATATAATTTACAAATGTTCCAGACACAACTAAATCTTAGTAGTCTCTGACCACCCAACTTATAAATCATTGAAAAATATTTTCGATTTTGAAACCTACAATTTTCAAAACTTTGGACTTATTTTCCCTCGATGTGGATCAGCAAGAACGAACTCGTTTTGGAGCAACATAAACTCCGGCTTTCTTTTCCCAACTTCAGAATTTTGAAGGTTTATTGGAGAATCTAATGATTTTTGGTGTTTAATCTTTTGATCTTTTGTGTTTTGATCTTATGGTTGAGTTAAGAGAATTATGAAATTGATGTTTGATCTCTGTAAGATATTCTCTTGAATGAATAATTGCTCAACCACATAGATGGTTTGGGACGAATTATGACTTGAGTATATATAATACGAAATGTTTGAGGTTGTACAAGATAGTAAAATCTGTTCAAAATAGCAAACTAGAGCTGGCCATATACATAATCTGCTTGAGCGGACTCCCTCACGGCTAGCGAGCACCACTCAAGCGTCTGGGTCGTGCTATCGAGTGACCGTGCTTCTACTTTTTATGCTTGAGCGGGTAGAAGGCGATCATGAGCAATTTGCGACGATTTCTTCTTCTTGGTCCATATTGACATCTTTTACTCCTTCAAGACCTATACTACCGACTCTCGATTCTTTGACTTTAATTACAACTCAATAATACAAGATTCTGGACACAAAACTTGCTAATTACAATTGGACCCAACAAGCTCCCAAGTTCACATTCCATAACAAAATCATTTATTTCAAAATTAAAATTAATACAACCTAACATCTATCAACCCAAACACACAATTTCTAAATTTCAACTTTACAACTTGTCATACCTAGTTCTTGAAAAAATGAACACAACAATACCACATGTAAAAGTAAGAGGAAATTAACAATTAAAACATATATCTAAGTCATATAAAATAACGTAAGTAAAACATGTAATACTACTTGTATCAATAATTTAGAATTGAAATATATATCAATATCAATATTGACAAAATACTAAATACATTATCAATATTAAAATTTCATCCATAAACATCTAAGACAAATATCAACTTCTCACCCTAACTCATATACTACTCAACTCTTTTAAAATAAATATTTATTTCTTTGCATTTTCATCCACAAAGGTCCAAGACAAAAATCACTTTCGATTTCTAAGTTTGAGCATTGCTTGAACTTAATTGGTGTTTGACATTAATTTAGTCCATAGAAGCTTGTTTGGAAGATGATAAATAGTGTTTGAAGATATATTTTAATTACTTGTGACGGAATTTGGTTCAAGGTAGAGAGTTATATAAGTTTGAGCATTGCTTGAACTTAATTGGTATTTGTTATTGATCTAGCCCATTGGGGCTTGTGTGGAAGAGGTGGAGAATTACTTGTTGAAGAGTGAAGAATAATTTCTTTGTTGTCGATTTTATATTCTGCAAGTATATAGATTGTAAAAAGTAATAAAGTGAACATATGAGTCCGAATATCGTTCCCACAAGGATTACTATTTAACAATTGATTCAATTATTCTAATTTCAATTTGATTGAAAACATGTAAAATTGTTATTTTTCTTTTTTGTGATTTTTTATTTTAAATATACTAAAATGAAAGTGTTTTTTTTTTTTTAAATATGATGGTTTAAGTGTTAGGATTCATGATTTTGCTATAATTATCTCCTTAATCTCATTTATCAAGTTTTATACAATTGATTATGTTTATACGATCGAATTCTTCTAATGTATTCAACTTACCTCTCTCAAGTTCTTATTGAGCATATTTAGCTCATTCAATCACATATCTCCATATGAATCAATTTTAGTTAAATGCATTTAACTTCTAAGAATTCATGTGACGATCGCAATAATTAGTATAAGTATATCTACTTTTTATACTAAGTTATCTATTTTTATTACGTGGTCTAAACAAATAATCTGCATCTCTACGTAATTATCGTTTACGAAATCAATGAATTAATGCCAATTAATCCAAGCATTAAGAATAGAAATAAAAGTAATTCACAAAATCAATTAAGATCTAAGACATTTCAATTAAAATTAAGGTTCAGAACTAGGTTACAATAATTTATCCTAACTAAATACCTAATTACACATCATAGGAGAATAAAAAATACAAGAAGGAATTAAAGTACATAACCGGGTATTAAGGAAAAACGATAAAAATATGAAGATCTTACACCAAAATTCCGATTAAAGAGTTTGAATTCGTTTCTACAAAAGAGTTTAATAAATAAAAGGAAATAAATTCATTTTTCCAATTGAACTCATTTTCTCATGTGACTTTATTCATCCATCTTGTAATTTTTGCAATTAAGTCCTTTTCATTCCAAAGTCAGAGTAGTTGATCTGAGATAAATTTTGGAGTTTGCAATTTAGTCCTAAAACTTTTCAAATGTTGAATTTAACTCCCGAAACTTATGAATTTTTACTGAATGCTCAATTAATACTTTCAATTGACCTCTTGCAATCCAGTTAATCTTTAATTGCTCCAAATCAACTCCAATTATGCTCCAAATAGCTCTTTTCACATAAAATTGTATCCAAGTTGGGATTTTGCTACAATTAATATAATTTTCACAAATTAAGTGGATAATCGGTCAATTTATTTATAATTAAATGAGAATAGAAGCCCAAATAAGCGCATAAAATGCACTTATCATCATTGCTTTGAAATTTGTGTCAAGATTGAGATTTGTTGTGATATAACTCAAATTCTATTGGCAATTGATGTTTGGTTGAATAGGATTTGGTGTTTAATTGATGGACCGAGCTGCTCTGCTAGGCCTGTAAAAGGCTTGGCAAAGCAAATGTGAGATGAGGGGGTTGGTGTTTAACATTTGGGGTGGGGGTGGGGGTTTAATGAGGTGGGTCTCGAGGACCCACCTCATGTGAGAGCAACTGCTAAAAGGCTTGGTAGAGCAACATTATTCTTAATTGATAAAGGAAGCCTAAGTCTATGTAATTAAAATCTATATTTTAATCTAAGTCAAAATCAACCATTAATTTCAACCACATATTTCATGAGTCCCACAACTTTTCAATCACACACTTCATCGACTTTGATCAAAATCTATTAAAAATCTAATTTTAACCCTCACCAAACAGGGGCTAAATATTTTTGGTTTTGAAGTCAGTTTGAAAAAGAATCAAATTTCATCAATGATTGAGATTTTGATTGGATGGACTTTGGAATGGATAAAAACACTTTTGAAGTGCTTAGGACAGAGACAAGGCGCCTGGGCGCTGGGTCACGACGCCTAGATGCCAGCAGCACAATAGTGGAATAGCGACAACACCCATGGCTCCAGACATGGGCGCTTTAGAACTATCGTTCAACAAGAATTGATTTTTATGGGAATTCATATATTCCACTTCATTTAAAACACCAAAATTGGAATTGGGCTCTTACATAGATACGTCACATAATGTAGGCTTTTCATAGGCTTGAGTAACATTGAGATCATTGTGAGATACATTAGAAACTTGTGAGGATTGTTAGATTTAGATTGAGAGTATCAAATTTTGTAAAACAATTCTGTTTCTTTTAT